TTAGTACCGGAATGATTCCTCGTTGAATGGAAGATAACGGAGATTCGAGAGATGGAGGAGGATAGAGGAAGGAGGGGAGAGATGCTATTGACCGTTTGATTGATTAAAACGTCGAGCTCGTCGCAGTTGTTCGATCGCTAAATGAATTTCGTTCGCCGCGCCAGCCAGGTATACAAAGCGGCGCTTTAAATCTTCGGGGCTTAATAATCAGTCTGAAGGCTCGTAACTCTTCCCAGTGTACCTCCGTCTCTAGAAACCGAGAGGAGACGTTGGAGGCGATGGGCGAGAATGAAACGACGACGATAGCGAGGGCGTGTTGTTGTGGTATTGGTCGATTCGAAGAGAATCGAAGGAGAAAAATCAAAAAACTCCAAGTGTATGCGTTGATCTTTAATCCTCTTGTTTAACGTTTTTTTTTTTTTTTTTCGGTTAAATCTATATAAGAAAATGTTTGTCGATATTTTCATATTAGAAATAATTCCAATCACGTCGCGAGTGGAAGCCTCTAGGCGCTATTTGCCGTTATTGAAGCCGCGTTATTGCGCCCCTGGTATTACGTGGCAATAAACGAGAGATTTTAATTGCTAGTTCTATAAAACGGCGTCAATAAAGACGTTGCACAGTCGGTACAATAACTCGGTCCTCTCCTCGTTCGTTACAACGGACAAATAATTCGAATAACCGTGAACGAATCTCTTATCTCTTTCCACCCAGGCTTACTCACCTCGGCATGAATCATTCCGATAACGATCCGCATTCGCAAAAAAACGAATCGTCGTAATTCATTATTAATCCGATCGTCATCCTCGGTCGATAATAAAGCGATCGTTTTAACGCCACGACCGCCATTAAAATTCTTGATGTTTCAATTGAATTTCAAACGGAGCGTAAAGCGCCGCAAACCATAGCACAAGCATCTCCACGACGCGTGTATACGAGCGAGTAGTATGGGGGATAGTTGGTGTGTTCGTCTGGCCGTTTATTATGGCACCAAGGGAAATTACGAACGAGCCGGCCTGTGGCCATCGCGGTAGCCGATTGGCGCGCGGCGATATACGAGTGGCGGCAAAATATGAACGTCAGAATCGAAAATTCGCAAAAGTTCGAGTCTCTTCTCTTAAGGATTGAATAAGAAAACGTGAAAATGAATTGAAGCTGAATCCACTTAACCGCAATACTTATTCATCTCTTAATGATGAAAAAAAGATTACTTTCAACCTTCGCAGAATCCCCCAGAATTATTTTAGTCACTCTCGAGATCCCAACTCATCCTCACTCTCTGAAAATATACAATTTTAAAATATATTTACACTCCCTAAAGTTATCGGGACCTAAAATTATTATAACAACTCTCGAGACTTTCAACTGTGAAATATATTAGCGTCCCCCGTTTATTAGTCCCCATTTCCAACAGGCCGGGGAATCAGCGCCATCTGCGAATTCTCTAGGAAAATTCCCCAGCAATACATTGTTTCCCACGTAAAAGAGTAGAACCGGGCAAGAGTTGGACGGTATCGCGGAGGGCAGGCCGAGATTCACCATCGGCAATTTGCATGACCGATGATCGTGCACACCGGCTTGGCGTGGACTAGGTGCATCGTCATTACGCACTGGCCAGATACGATCAAACTGTCGGTAATGATAGTCGCGCGACCCGGCGCACGTACGACGAACGCGAGGGTCGCGTTTATTAAATTACGTCAAATTATTGGTACGCTCGGAGGGTCGATTATCGGGGCTGCTCGTTCGACCGCCAAGAATCGTTCTCCTTTTCCCCGATTACCACGAGAAACCGGCGCGAGGTGGTAGCCAAGATCTTGGACACGGCTCTTTGCCGTGATCTAACCTGACACGATTCCTGCTTGGATGTGAGTCGAGTGGAAGGAAAGTGGCGAACGAGCTTGAGAAGTGGTTTTTTGGATTTGAGGAGAGGATCGAACGGAATTTTTTCTTTTGCTCTACTTTTATATCTTATTATTTTATATTTATTTGTTCAACTGAACCTAACCTCTTTTTTTTTCCTATGCCGTGGAACGAGATATTAAAGATATGTATCATTTTTGAATCGATGCTGGGTTCGAATATATATGATTAACGAACGATTTTCGATTTCAGATTCGAACCGACGAAGGGCTAAAGAAGGCAAAGAGCGGTCCGGATGGGGCGTCGAGGATCTCCGAGATGTCTTCGATTAATCAAAAAACTCGTAGCTCAAGCAAGGACGGAAGGACGGATCTAGGATCCGTCGAAGATCCCACCATTTGTCCTCCTTTTTTTTTTCTTCTTTTTGATCCATCGCAGCCGCGACCATCAATCTGACCTTTCGAAATATCCAATTTTCGCATTGGATCGCGAGAGAAACGAGGGAGGAAGAGGAGGAGTCGCTAACAGGATACTGCTGCGTGCTTTCCACGCGGATCGTCGATCGAAACTTTGGATTCAACTTGAAGACGACGGATGAAGCTTACTCAAAGGAACCGAAAATGAAAGACAACGCTCGCAATTCGTAATCCATGAGAAACATCTCAAAATCCGAGTTTTTTTTTGATCGAAGCTAAAAAGTAAACGATGAAAGACGACGAAAAAATTTTGCACAATTGATCTTTGAATCTTTCTTTTTCTTTTTTTTTTTTTTTATTAAGCTTCAAAAACGCTCGGAGCATTTTTCTAATGGATTGCGAAAAACTGGAAGAAAATTCATTCGATTCATAACGAGGTAGCGTTATTTTCGAAACGAGAATGAACGAGCAGATTCAAAATGGTCCATTGATCGATGAAACCAATATACGAGGGATAATGAAATCGCTTCTCGCAAAGAAAAAAAAAAAAAAAAAAAAAAAAAAGAATAGTAAGCGGTAGAAAATACGATATCGGATTCTAGAAGCGATACTGGATAGCGTGGAGAATGCGAAAAATCATGGGATACAATCATTAGCAGAGAGATACGTGCTAACACGCGCCGTTAGTTAATCTAATAGGAAGCGTAGTTAAGGATTATAAATGCCATAATAATGACCAACTTCTTGTGGTTGTACTTAAGTCATATCTTTATACTTTACTATTTTACGTTTAAGGCCAATTAAGTATGTAAGTTGCATAATATTTTACTATCGGAATATCTTCGAGTTAATTGCTAGGCATTTATTTCTTTATCTTTTTTGTTTGTTATTTTTTTTTTTTTCATCGCGATGGTTTCCGGTACCGGAAGTGATTATATTCCGTGACGATAATCGTCGACACACTGGACACAGATGTAATGAATTCATCATTTCTTTTCCTTCCTTTCTTCGTTGAAAGGGAGCTTCTTTCTGATGATGAATATATTCGCCTTTCGAGAAACTCGACAAATTGCCAATCGTTTGTCATACACAGCTACGTTTTGAAGTTGGGCGAACATTCTATTCTTGTTATTTACAGAGACCGATGAAATATTAACAAATTATTCTTTTGACTTTCATTTTTTTTTTTAACCTCGGTCGATCACCGAGTAAAAATTCGAATGTGCAATGGATTTGTTCTACGATCTGTTGTTAGTCGGTACGTACTTACGTTTCTGCGTCCAGTACTCTGAACGGAATCGTCGAAGGCCTGTGACACCCGACAATTGCGCAAAAGAACCGCTTAAACGAAGTCTTTATCGGAAATCAGGTATCGAGACCTGTCGGTTAACAGTCCTGGCCAGACCCAGCGTCTCTGGACCTTGGTCTTTTGTGATTATTATTTAAGTAGGTTTTAAGCGTATGATAGATTAGCTAAAGTTTTACAATGTTTCTATATATTCTTTTCAAAAAAACTTCGTTTCGCTTTTATCCTTTTTTCTCCCGTCGATGAAATTTTGCGAGCGATAAATAATCAGCGAAACCATAAACAATGCGAATGTAGGTACGAACATCGTTTGAAAGAATAGTAATAATATAGTGAAGTTCATGGAATTTAAAAGAAAATCGAGAGCGAGAAAAGAGATACATTTATACGATTTAAATATCCCGCCAAGACCATTGCCCCTTCGATTTTAGAGGCGGGGCAAAATAGAATCGAAGAGTTCGATTCGAATGAGGGTATGATGAAAGATAATTTTATGATAAGAATACGTTTTAATCCGTATGTCGATAACATTTCTTACAGTTCTCTGTAACATAAGTTTCCCTAGTTATAATGTTAAGAAGATGTAGATTTTGGATTCTCATGATAAACATTCTATTTTGCGTAATGAATACGAGTAAGAAGGCACTCGGTCCCCTTTACGATGGAACTCTGTGCGTTATAATTGTTCGTGGATATGAAGAATGAATATTTCGTATGTCGACGTTCGCCGAGATTTTGCCAGGAGAACAGATTGCGATGCTACTAATTCATCGCGTAAATATCCCTATATCGCAACTTATCCCATATCTCTATTCTTCTTTTGCGTTCTTTCTTCTTTAAGGTTAGTTTTTTTTTTTTATAGGGCATTGGATGTATCATTGTCCGTGTTTTCACGTTGTGCTTGACCAATGTGAAACGATGTTTCGCTACGACGATACTGAGATGGTGCGTCGATTTTTTTTCATATCGTTCGTGTTTTCATGGCGAAATGCTCGATGCGTAAGGGTCGAGGATCGTTGTGCCTTCGAATGCACCTGTTCGAATGATACGTTTTATCGATAATAAGAACAGACATCCACTTTGTGATTTCGTAAGCAGTTGTTCAATGTTTTCTTTTTTTTTTTATACTTTCCTTAATGCTTATCTAGAATAGCTTGTGTACCCTAAAGAGTGTTTCAATAAAAGTGACAATGAAATCAAACTCGATTCTATGTTTTTTTCATCATTATTTTTTTTTTTTTTGCAGGATACGTAGAGAACATGTTCACTGATAATACTTTCCTATATATAGAAGAATTTATATTTAAAATATATACAAATATATATATACTTTTTACGATAGAAAAATTAATTTACCAAAAATTTAGTGCACATTATAATTGAAAAAGCGCGTTCAATTGACATTCTATATTTCGTATACAGCCATGTGCTAAGAACGAGTATAGATAGAGAGAACAAATATTAGAAGAAAGACAGAGATAAGATAAAAATATTGAAATCAGCGCCATCTCCAGAATGCCGCAAAAGAAACTTTTAAAGAAAGGATAGAAAATAGTGAGAGAAGGATAGAGATAAAGAAGAATTGACCGTTAGCACCATCTCTCGAGTACCAAAGATTCTTCAAGAATAGGAATTGAAAATTAATGCCATCTCTCGAATGTTCCTAGAAACATGGTTCTTTTTTCTTTTAAAATGATGTCTTTGAAACTCTAGAGATGGCGCTGGTAGTTAATTCTTATTCTATTTCCATCCTTTTCTTACTATTTTTTGTCCTTTTTTTGTGAGTTTCATTTGCGACACTCTGGAGATGGCGCTAATTTGAATGTTTTTGCCATATCTCTGTCTTTCTCTCATTATTTTGCTTTCCTTGTCTAATTGCATTTATGCGCTAAAGGGACGGTTTCCATATTTGATTGAAATCTGAATTTGCTATTGCTGCTTCTAAATCCGATATTTGAATTACTACTTTGCCGCGTTTTTTTATTCGTAATTTGTGTTGAATATTTTCAATAAATTATCATATTTTTTCGTGAATTAACATTATTCGATATCCATCGATATGTGAAATAGTTACAGACATCCGTTTCTTGTAATATATAGAATCGCGGGTGTTTATTTTCGTTCAAATATCCGGTATGCCGGGTGTGCGGTAATTTCCTTTTTATATATAATAAAAGGAAAATTCGCGAATATGGCATTACGTTACGAAAAAGTTGTTTTATGTCGTGGTTTATCGGAAAAAAATGATTCGCAAGAGGCATACGTAAAAACCTTGAAAACGGCAGGTTATTCGTGCGATTGTTTGCCTACTTTGCGCTTTGAATTCGTAAATATTTCGGAATTGAGAGCATGTTTTTTATCATCATCTTCATACTATGGTAATAACGTCATAAGTTAATTTAATTCTTTTTAAATTTAATTAAATCATCTTTCAAACAATATATTCGCAGGACTTGTCCTGACAAGTCGTCGTGCTGCAGAGGCAATTGAACTTTCTGCAAAAGAAGATCCTGACATTCTACTTCCTTGGAAAACTTTGCCAGTGTATTGTGTAGGACCAGCAACAGAGTCTTTTGCTAAAAGTCACTTAGGTTCAGAGAACTGCTTTGGTAAAGAGGCTGGTAATGCCAAAGAATTAGCAGAATTGTTAGTGGCTTCGATTGCAAAAAAGTCAAAACCTTTACTTTACCCTTGTAGTGAAATTGGACGTGAGACAATAGAAAAAAGTCTTAATGAAAACGACATTAATGTTCATAAAATAGTTGTTTATAAAACTTTGGCTAGTAAAACTTTAGAACATGATTTATTAAAATTCATGGATAATGTACCCAAGATATTCATATTTTTTAGTCCATCTACAGTAGAATATATACTAACATTATTGAAAAAAATGTCTTATGATCTAAACAATATAAAAGCAGTTGCTATTGGACCTGTGACTAAACAAGCATTACTTGATGCTGGTCTTAAAGTTTTTGCCACTGCAAACAAACCTGATCCTATATCTTTGTTGGATGCTATTAATGATGCTGATGAAAGTGAATTTAATGAAAAGAGTGAATGAAGAAATTATTTACTGTTGTACTACTGTAAGTATCTAATTGTCAGTAATCTATTGGGACTATATTTAATTTGATAATAGTAAAAAGTGATAATTATTCTATTCCTAGAATATTCTATTCTAGTCCTATATTAAATGTTAAAAATAACATGGTCACAATGGATTAAAGTATATTTTGTTCATATTTGTCACTTTTAGTAATTTATGTAATTTATTTCTATTGGATGTGTGTTAGGATAAAGTTGGTTAAATTCAATCACTAATTAATGAACAAATTTTATTTTTGTTATAACAATAAATATATCTTGTTTTATTAACATTTTAATGGAAAAAGATAATTACCATCTATTTACAATATAACATGATCTAGTTCTTATACAACGTTAACTATACAATAGTACATAATATAAATCATTATTGTTTACAATATTAAAAATTGATACAATCAGGAAAATTATTTCTTTGTATAATAATGGAGTTTTCGAGCTCCGTTTCTCGTGATATATTGAAATGTTATATAGTTTGAAAATACAATAAAAATTGGATAACTATTCGAAAATTGAAATCTAAAATAAAATTGATTCTTAATTCAATGTTGTTCGATTAAAGCTCGGAGTTGTTCTTGTATTTTATCGAAGAAAAGAACAATGAGTAAAAGCAATAGAGAATTAAGAATCAAAATAAACAATTTGTCTCATAGTGTGATATAAATAATTTCTCGACCAGTAGTAAATGGATAGCGGATATCTCCGTATATCGTCTCGTGCAGTTATCTAATTTTTACTTGTAATAGGTCTATAAGTATTATATAAAGTAAAAGAACGAATAGTTTGTGAATTTGTGCGTGTCAGTCTTTACCATTAATCTCTATAGAATTTCCTATTGCTCCTCGCAAAGATGTGTGTGTATGTGTGTACATAAGTAATTATTAGAAAATACTGTTTTTTTAGAAATATTTATAATACGCGGAACGATTATGTTTCTCATCAGATACATCTGATAATAGATTTTATTCTTCCTAATTTTAATATCTACTTCGATTAACTACGTTACCAAGAAGGCACGAAATATCTGCTCCCACAATCGTAGATTGATTAGCATAGTAAGGCTGAGGTGGATTTCCTCCATTATTGTATTTCATTTGAACTGCAGTTTCGTAATCAGGTGCTGGTCTATAGGACGGAAGTAAGGCACGTAAATTATTAATGTCCGTCGACGATACAACGGGATAAGGTGATGTCGAAAGATCATTGTAACTAGTCCATCTTGTATGACCTTCTGTGTTTCTATTATCCAAATTTACCGATACTGCATGATCTCCCGAATCGTTCGTATCACTGTCCTAAATTATGTTGCAAAACTTTTATTTGAATATGTTTTTGGCATAATATCGAGCATGAATGAAATAGTACTTACGAAATAACCATTAGTTGATCTCTCTATTGGCCGCGATTCTTGATGTTGCATATAAAATGTATGTTGTGCTATACATAAACGCCACACATATTTTGCATTACGTGATTCGGTAAATATGAATTGCTTTGGCTCCTCGCCTTCCACTTGGCATTCTATTCTAAATGTCTTTTTGTGATTAATCACATTGCTTATATCTTTCCACCTATTATAAATTTTGATTATATTTCATATTTTAATATATTGTAAAATATTCTATGATATTCTTTGTAAAATATTCTATGATATAAATACCTGTAAAATTGTGTTGTTTGTGTGTTAGGATATACAATCATAATTCCATTGATAGAAATTCCTAATATCACTTCATTGTTACCATTGTCCTATAAAAATTTATTTTTCAATATTCTTATGTCAAAAAAAAAAGTATGAATTATAAAATTCAATGTGAATACTTTAGTAGAAAATGTTTCATTTCCATATCCTTCTAGCTGCATAACGATAGAAATATACAGTTCCTCAGCTGCAGCTTGAGTAACACCCATTAAATTTTTGTATTGACATACAGCAGTATGCAAAAGAGAATCTTGACCTCCAGGATCTGCTTGAATAACATCCTGAACAATGAAATAATGTTAAAAATAAATAGAAAAAATTTAATTATTTTTTTGTAGATTTTCTTAATTACTTTAGGAATAATGTACATTGCTGCAAACATTCCATAGTATGTCGTTCTGCATCATAGTTACCAAATTCTGCTTGCATCGAATAGCTTGCTAAAAGAGTTGCTTGTCTAGAATTGCATTGAATTCTACCTTCTAAAATATCACTTTTCAGTTGAAGATAATAATGATACCTAAAAATAATATTTATAATATAAATATTTATAATTAAAAGATATAAAAATCAAAGATATACCTTGTCATTTCATCTTGAATGAGTTGCACATCTGTGACATAATACATAACTCTCAAATATAAACTGAAATTTTTGGCTTCTTTCTCCAATTGTTTTTTTAATGGTTTATCCATGTCAACCCATCTTGGAGATGGAGAATCATGCCGAGAAATGTATCTTAGGCCAAAGAATTCAGGTTGTCCTAGACCTAAACGTTGAGTTACATTGTCTAAACATTCTTGACCAAGGCTATCAATACTCAATGTGCATTCTATGGAAGTGGTATCCAATAATTCTATGCAGATTACATACTGATTTTTGGAAACCACGTTATATTGCCGACTTTTCTTCAAATGGAATTTAAACGGCATTTTAATAATACGTTTGACTGAAAAAAGATAGCATAGGCACAAAATTAAACCAACTTGTTAAAATCGAATCTTTTATATATTCGCCGAATTAATTTTAATTTTTAAAAAGTTCTTTTAAAGAATTATATGGGATCTATAAATTTAATAATAAAAAAATGATAAATAGAATGTAAAAGAATACAGTAACGATGCACTTTTATTGAGACTACTAGAGAAAATCAAATATCTACAATCGAACACCAAAATAGTTTACATTCCACGATACTTTTACTTTTAATTGAAATACGTGTACATACATGTACTGTATACATTCCACTCTGTTGAGCATGAGAAATGTATAATTTTTCACATTTAATAAATCGAAAGCATTTCTAACCTCGTTTTTCACGTCATTAATGCTAGTTACAAAACTGCGATATACAGTTCCTAAAGTAAGTGTCCTTGACATGAGAATGAATAAAATGGTAGATTTTTTTTATTAAGACAAAAGAATAAAGAACAATATTAAGAATTTGTTAACAAATAATTCAATTGTATAAAATGCATAAAACGACATATTAATAACGAATTATAAGAATAAGATACTTTTATTGAAAGTATTCCCAAAATAATTTTTAATTGGACAAATCTTATTTAGATGATTAAATGAAAAATTCGATTAATATTATATTTTTTAATGAAAAATCAATTAGATTTATAGTCGAATTGTTGAAAGTTGTTTACATTATTGAGAAATAGAAGAAACTATTCACTAGAATTAAATATTACTAGATTTAGTTATCCAATAAATTCCCTACAAATCTCATTATGCAAGTTACTCAAATTCCTCGCACATAATATGTACACGATGACTAATGCTCTTATCGAAATTAATCGCACGCCTTTTATTGCAAATGTTTTTATCGCGTTGGATCGAATAAAATTACATGTTTTGCGATAACACGAACGTAACGCGTGCAAAATTCCATCTGCTAGAGTTTTTATGTTTTACATCATGAAAATTAAAGTTTCTAGGACAAGCAAACATGAAAATAGTCAGGAAATTTCAAAATATTATTATATATTTAAAATAATAAATATATTTAACAACAATTAACAAATTAATATTGCAACATACAATGCAACATTTTTCTAAAATACAATTCAATATCTTCTTAAATATATTTTATAAAATACTTCTGTCCAACTAGATAGTTTTTTGTTTTCTTCAATTTTTATTTTTTTAAATAGAATAAAATTGTGTGGCTGTAGAAGATTGCATCTCTATTTGTCCCATTTTGAACTGTAATCGATGTAGCCATCGTAAAAGTGTTGCATTAGATTCTCGCCGAGACGAAGCAAAATGTTCAGACATTTTGTTAGGTGGAAAATCTCGACAATTTTGTAAACGAACTTGCAAATGTCCTGGCAACTAATTATAAATAAATTTTTTATAAAAAAATCAATATTCTTCGTGAAAAAAATTATTAGGAAAAAAAACAAATCATTTTAATAACTTGTCTTACCTGAACATGATGCGAATACAGAATGGGACTCCAAAGAGGTAATAATTTGCTTAACAGAATAGATCCACATTCTAGAAGAGCTTCGAGTAAGCTTAAAAAATGTAAATTGACCATTTCGGCTAACTGTAAAATCAAATTTTTATTTAAAAAAAAGAAAATCATATTTTTTAATACTTCCACGATCTTTTCACTTACGACTTTCGAGTATTCAACTAATTGTAATATACAAGGCGTTATCTTGCCCCAGAATTCCAACAAAATATTCATTGTAATATGGCCTTCGTTATTCGATGGATTCTTTGATAATTCTTCCAAATACATAGTCCACAGCTGAATAATATGAACAATAATGTTTACGAATTACGGATTCAAGTATTCAACCAATATATATATATATATACCTGACACAGTATGAAAGCATGGAATAATGAGGACATGTGTAGGACTGATGCTTTAGATTGTTCCGGGAACCCGGAAAATATAACTTGCACGTGATCCGCGACATGACAAGATACTTCTTGCGGTATTGGTTGTGCAGATGGGATCGACTGGCCATGGTTGTTATGCGTATTGTTATTGCCAGCGTACATCGAAGTGTGCGTGAGGGAGCCCAACAGTAGCCATGATAGTAATCTGATATGGCCTATGCAGTCCACATATTCTCGAGCTCTGGAAATGACATTAATTTCAACATTTTTTAAAATTTTTGATTTTTCTTCTTGCACTGAATATCATCATCAACCATAATTACCCTTGTTGTATCATAGAGGGAGCGCTGTAGAGCCAAGGAAGATAGCGAGCCACAGCTCTGTTTTCTCTATTGTTGCCTCTGGTGATTTCTAGAGCTACAAATTGCGCGAGACCACATTTCAATATACCACCTAAAGTATCCTCGTTCAGACCAGCCTGCATTCCCTTGCTATAGCTCTATACCATTAGAAAATTCACATTATTCGTCGTAGAATTATTAGTGTTTTTAGTGTATTTAGTATCAAATATTTTATTACCTTCACTTTACTCAAAGTGTGAAAATCTGCCAAGAAATCGAGCACGTCCGACAGTTGATTCTTCAGGGACTCGGAAGCGTTCGTATTGTAAATCGGTGATATGTCTGTTTGGATATTCTCCAACGCGATCGTGTTAGGTAATGAACCCCCGATATCCTAAATACACGAGGTACAAGTTTGTCTATGTCACGAATTTTTGAATGACATATCTGCTTACCTGAAGCACGAAATGCAAAAGCAAGAGAAAATTGGAATCCGGTATCGTGGTCTTGAATTTAATCGCTTGAATCAGCTCGAATACGATGGTTCTTCCGAAAAAATGTTTATCCCTGTCTTTGATGAAACCTCGATGACAAAGATAACACAGATCTGTCAGATAATTGTACTTTATGGTAGAATTCTGGATGGCATAACTTAACACCTTGGCAAACGGATCCAGCATGCTCTATTAAATTTAACAAAATTATAATCACAAATATCATAATTGGTACAATATCTAAAAATTATTGTATTTTTAAAGAAAAATAAAGATTCTTTAAATTAAATCGACAAAAGGATCGCAAATCAGAAAACTATCGTAAATCAGATTAGAACGAGTATCGAACGATCTTTTGGTCATCGAGAATTCTCGATCATTGCTCCGGCCAGCTCAGGAGGAATAAATTCTCCGTTTACGTGGTCCCTGTAACGACTACGATCACTCCGCAACGATAATGATCGTGAACGACAGGTTATTTACGAGCGGCGAATAACTGACCTTCAATTGGATACCCGGGACCTTCAATAAAGAAATCATGATCCTTAATAACGGAGTGGTATCCTCGATGGACGAGAGCATCAACACTAGTCTGCGAAATAGGCCATCGAATTGCGCGAGAAGACCGCTCCAGGTTGTTGCACCTGGACTCAAGCCCGCTTCCAGGGGCAAGCAATCCAGGTAACAGGCTATGTTGAATAGTATTATCGGAAGGCGTTCCATTGGCAAAGATTTTTTCGCGTTTAGGGCCTGAAATTTAAAATTTATCGAGAATGTTTATGCTATAATGAGAGATTGATTGATTGATTTGTGAATTATTTATAATTCTGAAATTTGAAATTATTAAGATTTCTCATAATATTGAAAGATATAGATTTATATATAGAAATTATTCTTGATCTTGATTTAGTGAAAAAAATTTTTCTTCTTGAAATTTGCGATCTTCAATTTTTTTTTATAAAAAATTTTGTTCATTGTAATTTTTATAAAATATCTAAAATTCGCATAAGAATACCTCGAGCAATAATTGTAGAGGTGCTATTGGATTCAATTCGTTGAAGTCGAGTAAAGCCTGAGTGACACTTTTGAAGAATTGCATCCTCGTAGATTCTGAAAGACAAATAGATCCCCCAAATGAATCGTGCGTTTCATAAAACAATCAAAATCTGTAAAAACCATTGTACCATTTAAATGCGTTTGGAACATTTGCAAGAAGACACCATTAGGCGCCAATTGATGAAGAACGCATCGGAGGAATTGATGGGCCACGCTGATTGCGCCACCAGGTAGATGCATATTAGTCTCGCTTTGCCAAGGATACATCGCATTGAGAGCCACTCTATGAACGAATATTATTATAACATTGTTGCAAAACAATTAAAAACAGGTGAAATAAAATTCGAGACTGACTTTGTGACGACACGTAAGATTTCTGGCAAAAGCGGGGCTGCCAAGGATGGTTCACGATGGATGAACGTGCCCAGGTTGATGATACACAAACCAAGTTCCTCATCTGAATATTCCTCCTTTATCGTTCCACATTCTGAACATCTACAATAAATTGTAAGGAATTCAATTCAATTCGAAAATATACATTTATTAATATACATCGAATTGCTACCTCTCGTAAATACAATCGTCTCCAATGCGAAATAAGCTTTGCTTCAAGTTGAAATCAGCGTGATAGGCCTGTTGCGAGGCGATATCGAAATTAGGCTGCAGTTGAGGGCCAGACCTATGGATCGATAGAGAATAATGGATCATGTTGAATTTTCAAAGAAATTATATGTAAAGAACAGAGTTGCCAGATGAATACGGTTTCACATTACTATTCTACCGTGGTTTAATTCCTCTGCGGAAAATATATGACGTCACTATTATATATATGTATAGACAAGATACAATTTAACATATTAAAAAAATAGAAACACAGAAAATCATACTTGTCCACAACGCAATAATAACATAACGATTAAAAGGACTTGATCAACTTGGTTTTGAAATTATTATTAATAAGTTTTGGCAGAAGTTTGATCGTGTGACGTGCTTTTCTCTAACATAGCAATACTGTAACAATAATGTAATGTCATGTATTCTTCTCCTACAGAACTTGGCTCGAAATGAATCATATTTAATGTTAGAAAGAATAATGCATCGTGCTCGTTCAGCAATTCTAATGAGGAATCCAGTGAAATTTACCAGGATTCTGCACGCCTGGTTAATGGACCATCGTGGCCAGTGATACTATCCTTTCGCTTGTCTCGTTGAATACGAACATGATCCTTTGCTCTGCCTCTTCGATCGGGATCGAATGCTCGAACGGGATAATCCGAGGACTCTATCGCTGGAGGCGGCGATTCCAGAGCTACCTGCTTGATCAATCTCCTTGGACTCGTCGATCTGCTCGATTGTATCTCGTTCGATGTTGGAACTAGAGACGCTGACTGAGAAATCGAACTCTGTTATTTTGTTCTTAAGACGATGAGGAAAGGTCTACAAATTACCATGTTCTCAGATGTTGTGCTATCTTGTTTTACCGGTGCTGGTCCATCAGTTTTCCGCTATTTCCGTTATTGTATTTGTTGGAATCTGACAGATTTAACAAGATATTGTTGTTGAGAAAAAAATTTCGATTACTTTTTCCTTTTTTTATCGGATGAGAATAATGTTACCTTCGATCTCTCGGACACCAAGTACCTGACGAACGTGCTCGACAAGGCCTGTAAAGTCTCTCTGAGGGCCAACTGGTAACAATCGTTCAGGCAATGGAAACTCCAGCTGCGAAATGCTTCGAGGACTCGTTATATCGCTAGATATGCACGTTTCGCTATCTTGATCGAACGAGGAACCTGAAAATTAATATGAAGATTAATATAAAGATTTTATTAATTTTGAGAGGTACTCACTGACTGTCAACACGTCCATTTTGGATAATGGTGATTCAGGCGATCCATAAGTGTCTTCGCAACGCAGAATTCTCTGAGCTGGTCTTGGACCTACAGAATTATCGATAAATTGACAAAAAGTACCTATCGTTTTTTGCAAATATAAATATTTACCAGTCGGACGAATCGTGGTGCCAATTGGCAAAAGTCTCTCGACAGTCGGTGCAGTTAAAGGATGAGGAGGCTCGTTCCAGCTTGGATGCTGCCCATTATCCGTGCTCGTGATTTGAGACGAGATCGAGCTAACTGCTGGAGAACTCGATTGGTCGCTGCTCGTCACCGTAACCACTTGACCTGGTGACACAGGCGAGGCTATGGTCACTGTCTGCTCTATGCGCTTCTGACGACCCAATTGCTTAGAATTCGGTGAATCTGAATTACTGCCTGGTGGAGGCATCTTTTCCTTCGAAAACTCGTATCTGTAATTATATTGTTAAAAACATCTATTTTTATATAGATGCATGTCATACATCATACATCTATTCATGATGTAACGAAAAATTATAATTACTTTTGAACTTGGGCAGGTAAAGTAGTGGCAAGAGCAGTGGATAATCCAAAAGGTTTCGAGGAGGCAATGTCTCCATTAAAAGCTATTTGTACAGTGACGTTTCTTTCTTGAGCAGCTTTCTCTGTCGCTGGTTTCTCTGGGATCGCTTTATCCAGAATCCCTTTCTCCGCCCTTTCCGTCACTTTCTCGATTCTTGAAGTGTATCTCTGTAAATCTGCTTGACCACTTAACAAAGTGCTCGTCACCATCATCTTTACTCCTTCGTGTACACTCCATTTCTTTTGAGATCCAACCTTCGTACTCTGTCGCAAGAAAATAATAGAAAATTAATTTTGTAAATCGTAAGATATTTTACGACATAATATCGTTCGCACCATGTCGTGAACGAGATACTTTGCGATGGATATTGCTCATGGAACTAAAAATATGGGAATAAATATGAGAGAATGAAACTCTCGAGAATTACTATCAAAAGTTATTTTTGTTAATAGATTGTTACTTTCGACGCAGTGTTTTCTAGTAAAAAATAACTCTCGATAGCGGGAACTTTTCGAGAGCTTTACTCTTAAAGTGCGAATATATTCGAGAGTTGCTTTTAAAAGATTGCACGAGGAAAATACGTTAAAAATGATTATCCAAAAATAATTTTCATTCTCAACACAATATTTATTACAAAAAATAAATCATGAGATAAACTTACGAGAGTTTCATTCTCGAACTCTCTTTAAAGATAAAACTTAAAAAAAACAAAATAACTCTCGTCCATAATTACATTTAATTATTTAATTTAGAAAGAAATGACTTCTTTCTTCTTTCCAATCAATTTTTCAATTACCTGATGAGATTCCTCCTCGCTTCCAAGAAACCAAGTAGGTCTGCTGATTCCTTCCGACTTCTTGATAACATTCTGATTGTTCCAATCCGTTTTCGTCAAAATATCGGTCGTGATTCTAGATCCGTGTAGCGAAATACTTCTTGTGACAGCGGTCGGTGTTTCCTCCAGCTCACCGAGCGATCCACCACTGCTGCCATGCAAGGTGCTGTCAGATTTTGGGCTCTCGGGTATTGCAGCCAGCTCGGACTCCGTATCATCCGCATTGATCGAGTAGCTTTGCAGAGCATTCACAATAGCGGAAATTGTAACAAGCAGCTACTGGTGTAAGCACAGGCACAGGTGTGTTATGATGTAATTCTCTCACTGGGTCCTGGATTGCATATTCTCAAGGCATTCTAGGTCACTAGATCCTAGAATGTACTACTTTCACTATCTGGTTAAAGAAAAAAAGTTTTCTACTTCGCGATTCTGGTAAGTTTGATTTTGCAATTTTGTCATTGCTACTTCGTTTCATACCTAGTAAGAAAACGAGAAAATAGTAAAAATATCGATATATATATATCTTCGTTCCTCTAGTCCTTGAGTTATGGTTGTGAAGATTTGAGATGGTAAGGCTACTAGTGAAATAAAGTTTCTAGTAACTTTACAACTTACTCGTCGGCTTATTCTTAAAAGAACATAATTATTTCAAAGATATGAAAAAATATGAAGATAGAAGGGTCAATCTAGAGTGCAAAACTCGCGTCAATGTGAAACATTCCAAGCTGAAGTAGCCTAATGCTCTACTTTTCCAGGAATCTATGTTATCGACTAGGATGCAATGTTTCTAGGAACAATGTATAGATCAAATAACCTGGAGTGTTTGTTCATGTAACGACAAGTAGGTGTGCTCTCCTCCCAATGAGTTTCCATCTGACTATGCGTTGGTCCTGGACTTCTTTGGTGCACCGACACTATAGGAGTTCTCATTGGAGGACTCTCGGCATTCATATCTCCCATTGCCATCAGTTCGTGATCCACGCCCAGAGACGGTTGCGATACGTCTGAAATTTAACTATTGTAGCGTGAAATCCATCCTAATGTTTTTATATTTTAAAATAATATATTAAAAATTAACGCCAATGTACCACGTGATCTCGATGGAGCACTCATCACCACGGTAGCTGGAATTCTTTTGCATTGATGGTGCTGTGTATCTAAAGTGTTCAACACGATCTTGATTAACACTTGCAATTGGTTGCACCATGGTTGCTGACCGTATTGGCACTACGCATATAAAAAAAGTTAATTCATTTTCTTGAATTAAGAAAAAAAGGATGGAAAAATATGAAAAGGTGTCTACTTCACTTTATACAGTATAACGAGGAGAGACATTAACCAAGAGCGTCTGTTATTCGGTTCGAGATACCATAGGCTGTACGTAGGTGTTTGATGATCGGATGGAGGCACACCTTGCGGAGGACAAGGACAATGTTGAAGAATGGCCAGAACTGGAGGTGTCATCATCCATCCCATCACATGATTCTGGTCCAGAAGTTGAGGAAGATTCGCGATAAAGACGTTGAATACAGGAGAAACTCTAAAGAGAATTATCTTGATTCTAGATTGTCTATTCTGTTGATAATTGGTGGTTTATTATTAATATTTGACACCTTAGTCGTTGTGGAGAAGTATGGAAAATGCGTTCAGTTTGATTATAGCCTAGTAGAAGGTATAAATGACGTAGAACGATTCCTTGCGTTTTTGATAGAGGTTTCTCGTCCGTTGGATAAGCCTGGACAATATTTTTTTTTTTATGAAGAAATGTTGAGTGAATAAAAATTAGAAGGGAAAATAATTTGTTTACCTGGTCCTGTCTGGAAAGAAATTGCATCAAAAGAAAGACCAACAAGTGCATGGTCTCTTTGTCAGCTTCTTCCAAGTCTACAATTTTATGGGTGTATCCTGGTAACGCGCTAGTTTCGTCCACCATGTTTAACGAATGAACGTGGCCATCTGTAACGTTGAGTCGGTAATAAATATTGTTTTTAAGTTAATCGAATCGAATAAAAATTCGATCGAATCAAGTTTAAAAAAATTCTTACCACGCTTGCTTGCATATTAATATTATCATAGAATTTTTCATTGTCTACGATCATGCATAAAAATAATTATGCATAAAAATAATATGTTAAACTCTACACCGTTTACGAATTTTTCAAATTTAAAATCTACTATTACCAGGAAATTGTCTACAAACATTCAACTAGAACAAAGGGATCTATCTCCACGATTTAAAAAGGAAGGGGTACCAATATTTTCAATCTACAAACAAAATATCGAAAAACTACACAAATTTCTACTCGCTACAAAAAAAAAAAAAAAAAAGAAGAAAAAGAAAATTCTCGAGGAAAATCTGATCGATCCTACAACAAACAATGCTCAAAACAACAACGAGGGAAGAAAATTTATTCTAAAAGTTTTCTCAATTGTTCAAATTTCCATCATCCTCAAATCGATCATATAAATAGCTCCACAGCGCAATGCCTAAGCGAAACCAAAGCCAAATCGAATTTCTTTTTTTTTTTCCAGTATAATCGAATTTTTCACCGCAATGCAAAGAAATTTTATCGGTAATGTTAACCTTTAACCCCTTCTGGATCATAGCGCAAAAAAGAAAACTAAGCGAACTCGTTGGTCAACAAGGAGGTTAATGAACCATCAAACTTACCACACAGGTTTCCACATCGAACATTATCGCGTTTCGCGTGTACACAGATGGGTAAATAGGTGGGTATATGTTTGTATATATATGTGTGTGTATGTGTGTGTATGTGTGTATATATATATATATGTAGAAACATAGAATAACACAGAGGATAAACGGCCACGTCTAAGGCTAGCATCAGCAACGCTACTCTACCTGGTATACTGTTATTAGGTGGGGTGGACCCCAGCAACTGACCCAGTCCGAATCTGGAGCTCTTGCGCTTCAGGATAGGCGCCGAGTATTGCCGGCTGTACACCTTCTCCTTTTCTGCGCGGGTTCGACACGGTTGGAACACAATTGAGAAACGCGTGTAAACAGCGAGTGGTTTAAACGACCTACGATCGACTAGATTTTCTGCGAACCGGAGCTAAAGTCGGCGGCGCGAGATCGATCGCGATCTTGGATTTGTGTCCATTCTTTCAAAGAGTCGAGGGATTGGGAAATTTTTAAGAATTAATCGAGCAGAAGAAATTTTTGTTGGACAGATACGTGATCTGTTTTGACTTATTTCTTGGCAATGAAATTCCTTGCAACGAGATTAAGAAACCTGTTAGCTGTAATTGTAATAAAGTGCGTGGCAAGTTGCTTGTTAATAGGCGCCTGTATGTTCAAAATTAGATATACATTTATTATTAGACCGAGAAATTGTTCCTTTCATCATTCTAGATGCATGGTTGATCTCTAATAATCATTCAATTTTTGTTTTATTATTAAAAAACGAATAAAAATCGGATATATATTTATCAAATCAAAAATCTTCTATTTTTTAATTCTGTTTCATTTTATTTTAAAGAACAAAAAACTTCGTTTCACTCTTTGACCTAAATGAAATAATAAATAATTCCTAGGCTTCTATCTGATTCTAATGTTATTCTCTGATAAGTCTACAGTCTAATCTGACTTTAGTAAGGGCAAAAAGGGGCATTCAGACACCTACGTGTTCGTGTCTTCAAATCTGACTTATCTTTCAAACTCTCGTGATTCAACGTTGACACTCGTGATATAGGAATTTCTGACTATAAAAAGTAAACTATGGAATGAATCACGATATATATCCACGAATTTTCCACGAATCGCGTGATTTACCTTGTTTAGTGTCCTGGCGAGGAATCATCGATGCTGGCGCCGACATGGTGCGTTTGTACGGCCATTTTGTGCCGAAACTCGCGCTCAACGTCTTTATGGAGTTAGTTCCACTTCCTTCCGACTGAGACAGCGCCTCCTGCGCTCTGTGCAACTTCTTCATGAAGATTTCGCTGTTCAAATCCGTATTCCTGAGATCTATGGGTCGATCCTCCGATAAATATCACGAAAATTATTAATTAATAGACCGCAAATATTTATGCATTCTCTGTACAAAAATCTATGGAAGACGCACAACATTTTTGAAGATGAAAAATATTCAAAATATGCGATATTTAAAGAATAAAGTAAATTTTTACACTAAGCTCCATAAAAGTTTTATTTTTAGCGCATAAAAATCTGCAGTCTGAAAATCTGTCGTCAGAATTTAAGACTGACCGCGTAGATAGGGTATATCTCCAGATCGTTCCAAATTAATTTGTGCCTCGAGGAAGAGAGCATCGAAACGATTGAGGAAAAACTCCCAAGTCAAGATATGTCTATCACTGAGACTGTTGTGCAACTGGTACAACGATTGGAGAACCATTGGCCGGTCGACTATCACCGAATCGAATTGGGTCTCCAAGCAAAGGATCAGGGACTACAAAAATTTGAATTATATTATTATTTGGACGAGTATAACGAATTATATATAAATCTTACTCTCATAGCTGTATCGTGGATGGTACCAAGGTACAAAGTGGCTCTCTGAGCAACGTACACATTTATGTCGTCCATACTTGCGATTAGATAGCAGAATGCATTTGCCAGAGCAGCTTGGAGGCTGATGACGTTCCTCAGAGGAGTAGAATCCATGAATCTAGCGATCAGTGTAACTCTTTCGACTGTAAGTTGTTGATCAATATTTTTAAAAATTGAATTGTCATCAGATTGTTGAGTTTCTTTTTTCATACCTGCCACGAAACGAATACGCCAATCGGAATTGTGGAACTCTTCCTGTATCAGACGCCAAAAGGTGTCTATTCCACAAGGCAAAGTCACGCAGTGGAGCAACAGTGGCACTGTGACGTGGGCTATGTGAGAATGCTCGCCGTTCAAGAGTTCCCATAGACTGTAGAGGTAAAGAAGGAACAATTTAGAATTCTGGAAAATTTGCTTATAATTGGTGTAAAATGGAAGTATATTTGTCATCGAGAGTATAAAGAATACCTGAAATTTCTATTCATCTGCAAGGTATATAAAATATGGTCAGTAAAAGGATGTATTCTACGAGAAACGAAGTAATTAAATTCTTACTTTTTTATCAATAAATTTTCCTGACACCATATGAAGAATCCTTGATGATCCTTAACCGCCATGTTGAAAGCATCACCGTAAAGGCACATCACGTTTAAACATTGGAGCATGTAGTAGAGTATGTCGGGCTTGTCGATCGTCATGATCTCCTATATAGAATCAGAGGAAGGAATTTAAAATCTCTCGTTTAAAATTTTTCAAAACTTTTCACAACTTTTTCAATGTATTCTTCAAACCAATGTTTCCAACCTTCAAAAGTTTGTGAATATATTGCAATTGTTCGGGAAGATCCTCGATATTGAATCTAAACTTTCCAACAGAGGTGTGCCAGAAATCATCCGTCTCGTTTTCCGGGCTCAGATTTAATGGCTCATCATTCTCTCCAATTATTCTTGGTTTGGCCACGCTCACGGTCGCTGTCGCTGCGAAAAAAGAAATTTCCATTCGTCACGAGCAATTTAATGGCATCCATAGAACAGATTAACATTGGAAAGTAGGCAGTCGAATATAGAAGATAGATCGAATGTACGAATATCTGAATTGGAATTCGTTTCTTTCTTTTCGCAGGCCGAAGTAGAATAGATCCGTATTTGATCAGACATTGAACGCAACTCGGTCGATAAATTCGAGATCGATCGGTAATACGATTTGCGAAAATTCTTGATTTTTTTCGAGGAGAATTTAAATTAATTTTCAAACTTAAATTTTTTTTTTTTTTTTTTTTTATTATCCGAGTTGAGAAACATCGAAGACAGAATTTCATTCTTACCTACGTCAGTCTCGGAAAGGGTGACGGCACGTGCAAAAGCGGACATAACCTTCTCGGTGGGCATGATAGCCGCTAAGTCCAGCTGCTCCGAAACTGTCTCTACTGTGGCTGTCATGATCTGTTCGAAGAACTGATATAAACGATCAAAATAGCTACCTCCGGCCACATAGATTAGCCTACCGTGTTAAATGGTTCACAAAACGCCATTTTTCGCAGTGGAAGAAGAAAGACAGAGAGAGGCGCACACACACAGTATTGTTTTTTTTTTTTTTTTTTTATTATACAGACGAACAGCATGCTGCGTTTTTTTTTGTTGTTGCGGAAAGTGTTTCGCACACAGAGGGGATAGAAAGAAAGACGCTGTGTCTCTTAAAGGCAGGTGTGACGAGTCGGTGTATAAATTAGAACAATATCAAATTTGTCAGCGATAGATAGATAGATAGATCTTTTTTCACGGAGTGTACCTGAGGCATGTGGGCAAGAACGCCACCGACCGAATGCATTTCCGGTACAGGCATACTGATCACCACGTCGGACTTGGAGTCCCCTTTCCTCGACGCCTCTGGACTTTTCCGCCCGTGTTCCTCCGTCGACTCGTCCACGATTTTCTGAGAAGAAATTTTTTTTCACGATGATTTTTTAAAAAAAAAAAAGCATGAAAATTTAACGCAGAGAATTCAAAAATATAAAAGTCAGAATTCGAGGATAAATTTTGGATTTTAAAATTGTTATGGAAAGATTGATTTGTGAAAAAACATTTTAATTCTTGGAACGAAAGTTGAAAAGTTCCAGAATAAGAAAAGAAGAATGTTCGTGACTCACGTCGGGCGGATAAGCGGGATTTTCCGGTGCCATGTAGGTGACCAGCTGCAGGCACAACTGATGCCAGATCACACTGGACTCGCAATAGGTGCACTCGCTGTTCGTCCCGCACACGTGACAGTTGTTCCAATTCGAGGCGAGGATCGACTTCATCAGACGACACGCATCCTTGCATACCCACGTACTGATCCCTGTGTGCTTGTCCACGTTCTGCAGCTCCATCTTTAACAATTTCTCTTAATAATAATCTTTCGTAATTCCTCTTCAATGGAATCGAAGAACGCGTTCGCTTTGTTATAGGAATATCTTATAAAATGTTCACCTGTTTCAACAATATATCGAGCATGAGAATGCAACAAGACAGATTAAGTTCAGCATTCGTGGTGAATTCCATGTGTCTCGGTGTTGGGACCACATCGTCGGATAATGGCGTCGATTTCCCCGACTCGTTTTCGACCACAGAGCCTGCAAATGAGTAAAGAAAAAATGAATAAATAATCAATTATCGTCGTTCACACAAGGTTTGATCGAAAATTTAAACTTACATATGGCGTTTCCTTCGTCGTCCTCCTTCTTAGTCCCTTTACTAGGCTTCTGCTCGGACTCCGTAGAATTCATGGCGCCCATCACAGCCACCCCATCGCTGAACATGGAGAACAATTGACAGAGAGGGATGCTGATTTCCAGCATGGTCAACGTTTGCAGCCAGTTCAGAGCCTGCTCTTGAACCTTGGCGCAAGTGTTGACGAACCGTTTCGCCACGAAATTGTACATCTTCTTAGCGTCGAAGCCCAGCGGACTCATGTCTCTGTCTAATATTTTGCTGGAAAACACCAACCAATTAAACAACACGCTTCGAGAATTTTTAAAGGCGAAATTTAACAAGAATTTAAATTACGAATGAATTCGAGAGAGAGAAAAAGTTCTGGAAGTGAAGTTTTTAAATGCTTCCAGAACTTCTTGAAATTGATGTTTCAAAATTCTGAGAACACAAGAATAAGAGAATAATATGAACGAAGGAATTTTTGTGAAAAAAAAAAAAAAAAGATTGTTCGCTCACCATAAAATCATTTTTAACTCGTGAAGCTCGTATTCGGGTACGTCGTTCACCATTGCCTCCATCCAGTGTGGCATCACGTAGTCCCAAACGTCCGGGGTGATCACCTCGTAAGGAACCAAGCAGAACAGACGATTTAACCCGTCCTTCAGATGCGACGTCCTCGAGGCCAGTGTCTCCCTTAATCATTTAATAATATTAATAAGATCGGTTCGCTTCTGTTATTATTTGAATTAGATTAAAATTATTCGCACCAGTGTCCTCCTACCCGGACGTAGTCCGCTGGATGAGGAAGAAGGCAGGAGATGAAGACTTCGTAGTGAGTTTTCATCACCTCTGACAGCCATCCGCACACGTATTCGGTTTTCAATTTCTCCAATGCGCTCTCCGCTTGTCCTACAACGAAACCCGAGCGATGGATCAGAAAGATCCCTGATAAATCGTTTCGTTAAATAATCGTGGATATTCACTGCTCTTTTAATTCAATATCCTGGGTATTTTCTAACGTTTTACTTCTGTTTTGTGTCTTTTCGAACGGAAAGAAGAAAGCGGACGACACAGACGAAGGAATGATACGAAGCGTTATTGCAGCGATTCTCAACCACTGTGCCGCCGCGACACATCTCTCCAAATGAAAATTATTCATTTCTTTTATATTTCTTTATCAACATTACTTATTTGATCATTCGAATAGAAAAGATAGTGACATTTTGCAGAATTTTTCCGAATTTCTTGTAAGAAAAAATCTTAAAAAAAAAGTCCTGGCCACTGTGAATATCTATTTTACAAAATAATATAAATAATATATTTATAGGTACGTTGATCAATAAACCAATAAAATTCTTTTAATTTATCCTATTGTTAATTGTTAAATTATTAAAAGGTTGAGAACCACTGCGTTACTGTATTATTATAGGCAGTGTTATATCGACGGCATGCGATGAGATTGTCGTAATCTCAAATATCTCGATTTTTGAGATCGACGATCGACGACGAGTCTCTAATTATTATTCGTAAGAAACGAACGTGTCTAAACTACAAAGTCGATGCATAAGAATTTTAACGCAGAATATTCTTCCATTCAAACAAACAAACAACGAGTATTGGGAATATTCTTGGATCCTATGCATCGATTGTTCGAGAGGCTCGATCAGCCGCGACGCAGACGCACTCTTGTCTTGAATCATTTCTCGAGATTTCTCTCGTGGAAGCTTTTAATTGTTTTCTGTGTGTGTGTGGCATGCACACGTATATGCAACTTGCAAACGCATAGGCGTCAACCTAGCAGATTATAATCTTCTAAATTGTCTTGTCGAAACATAAAATAAGCGAACTCTACTTTGAGAAGAAAATTCTAATAAAATTTTTTACAATAAGATGAGAAAAAGAGAGAAATGAAGGGAGAGAAGCAAAGAAGGTGAGCTCTAAACCAAAGCTGCAAAGCTGACGCCTCTACGACAACGAGTTGGACAAAGGGGACATCGAATACAACGAGTTTATACAAGAGAATTTAAATAGACACCAAAGTGGGAGAGAATTTTTTTTCGAGTTAGAGAAGAAACAGAGGAGAGACAACACAGAAAGCTGTTCGTTTCGAACATTCGTGTTAAACATTTAATTGTGATTAAGCTTGTTACTTAAGTGGAACATTGAAACGAAACGTGTACAGTATGCTCTTTACCCAACCACATCTCTCGTCCCGTTATCCCCGTTTCGTTCTTTTCTGATCAACTCACTTTGTCTGACTGTTACGTTAAGGAAGAAAAAGGTACGCTTATGCTCGAGTGTGGTACACACGGGTGGTATAATAATCGGTGTTGGTATAAGCGGTCGAAGACAAAGCGGAAAGAAAAAGAACGAAAACCAGTCGAATAGTTGGCGGTCCGAATGTGCCTACGATCGCGGCCAAAAACTATAGATCTAGCGATGGGCTCGAGGCGCTTCGAATCTCGTCGAGCGTTCCTTTTCCTCGCCTATTTCGAAATCAATCGAATCGTTCGAATCGTGGCTTTCGAGAGTAAAAAAAAAAAAAAAAAANAAAAAAAAAAGAAAGGAAGAAGAGAGAAGGAGGGGGGGGGGGAAGGAATTAGAAAAAAATTCGAGATCCGCTCGACACGATCCGAGTTGTTCAATCGCCCATCCCATCATCTTCTCATCTACGTTCTACGTATTCATTATTAAGTGTATAAAATATGCGAAGTGTTAAATTACCAACAGAAAAGATAAGGTGCATAAGGCTTTTTTTAGTACCATCGAAAGAGTAGGCAGTAACATGAAACCAATGAAATAGCATTGACAATAAACGGCCGAGAATTTCGATCGAGGTGTCCTGGTTCGGGGTGCAAAGCCCGACCAACAGCCAGACACCGTATCTCCCTAGCAGCTGCCTCTCCTCGAGGGTCGCCGAGTCGAATTGGCTGCCACTGCCCCCGGAACCGCCGCTTCCGCTCCCTGGGAATCCTGCGCTGTCCTTATTAGTACTTATTTCCGAGATGTCTCGGTTACTATCCATACTTAGCGGTTCAGCTTCCTTAAGCAGGCTGCAAAGTAGAGAGGAGAGGTGGTGAGCGGGACGGTGGAGGCGATCCGTGGCCACGCCTGGTTGTGGTCGGCTCATCAATGGTGCCAATTGTGCGGAGGATCGTTTTTGGAAAAGATCTCTTTGAAGCGAGATATATCAACGTTGGGAAAGATCGACGTTGTCCGTTTCTGGTTCAGATCGCTTGGAATCGGTAGACCATGGTTTCAATATCCGAGTTTAATTCGAAAGATTGGTAGAAATTGGTTAGAAATGATTGTTGAGGTTATGTCCTAACAATTTCAAGCGATTGTAAAAGAAAAAGTATCGAACGTCGAAGAATCGTGGCTTCCACGTTCGATCGTGATTGAATTGAATTCTTTCACGATCCTTGTTATTGTTTGTTATTTCGTACGTATATAAAGAGTTTTATGGATCGGATTTATGTTGTGCGCGTACACGCGCGGAGCGTGCACAGTGTTATATTATCGTTGAAATTACGATAGCTGTTGTTACGATCGTGGAAAAGTTCAATTCCTTTTTACATCGAGACGAATAATGCGACAATGTCGATCTGCGATTCGATACATGCCACATGTCGAAAATATTAAGAATACCAGAATCCCGATTACTCTATGTCGACCACAACGTTTACACTTACGTTGTATCAGACGCGACTTCGGATCGTGTTCACCATAAAAAATATATTCATATATACATTTATATAGTGTTTTTCAAGAAATCAGACTTTTTTTTTTTCGAGAATATAAAATCTTGAAAGAATTTTTATTTATCGAGTGACAACGAACTACTATCGGGGTTCATGCTAGTTCCAATGTATCGAAACGTATCATGCAGTATCAATCAGTGTGTTAATTGAGTTTCAACCAACGAATCCAAACAAAATACAATACCAAAGGTACAAAAGAAAAAAAAGAAACTGAGAAGATAAAGATCGATTGTTCGCAAAAGTGATTCTATTAGAGAAATAAAAATTTTGGAAGGAAGGGGGGAAAAAAGAAGAAGAAGAAAATAAACGAGAAAAAAATTCATAGTGTCCCGTTAAAATAGTGTCTCTGTTCGTGCAGCATACCAGTGTGTCTCGGTTAATGGGTATCTATTCAAGCCTGCACCAATGGGCCCGTTTTTATTGTGGAACGGTACACAGCCGCTGGTGTGTCGTATCCGGGACGTGATACGGCGTGGTGTCCTCGCATTTCAACTTTTAAGGTGCACTTTTCCTATGCTCTCTACTGTGAGGCTGAATGCTTCAAGAATCACGTGTCTTTCGCTTGTGGACAAATCGGAGAAAAACTTGCCTCCACGCTAACCGCCATCCGGCTTCGAACGTCTCTCTATCGAGGCGACCTCTATGCTCCATTTTGTAAACTAAACCAGCTTCCTGATCGATCAGGAAGTAGCAATTTATTACGCTTTTTCACTTTTTCGAAATATTTCTCTCGTCATTCGTCGAATACTTTGATTTTTTTGTTACTACTGATTTGAAGTTGGAAGTTTTTTTTTTATACTTTTGATTAAATTTTTGGAAATTGTTCATTAACGGATTCTTGTAACGTTGAGAGGCCTTCGAAGCCTGGAAGGCCTAGCGTTGGTGGATGGATCGAGATGCCTAGTAATTATTCCTTCACACGGCTATACCCAAGCCTAATTTTGTCAATAATCGGAGAGGATCCGATGAGAGGATTCGCATCTCTGAAACTTTTTTCAAAATTTTCAAAATTTTGGAATCGACATCTCGTCCGTTTCTGTGAAATATTCAAAAAACAATAATATGGAGCATCGGTTAACCACGTTCAATGGAAATCGCCATAATTATTCGTTATAATCGTCAATTTAGGTTATAAAGCATCTGAAATTTCCACTGAACGTGGCCAAAGCGTAATGTCTTACCAAGCGGGATGGACCAGCACGAACAAACACGCAAAGCAACAAATGATCCTGCGATCATTTTTTTTTTTTTTTAATTAGTACGCGTCATCGTGTTGAACGTAGATTGGACATCGTGGATTGCACAAAGCATCGCTCGAACGCGACCGATGTCGCTGGATAAAAAAGTTACACTACGTCTCGTTGACTATATATCTCAATGGTGGAACTCGTGTTCAATGTTTCTTCCTCGTCGAACACATTGCGTCAACGTGCGTAGCATATTGCGTTCGCGTAGTCGAAAAATAAAAAAAAAAAAAAGAACAAAATTTATCGCAGAAAGGACCGACATCAACGATACGATAGAGGCAAGAGACTCTGGCTTCTCTCTAATCGCGTTAATTACTTGGTGTAAAAGTAGTACAAGTAGCAATTTATTTGTAACTTAACAAAACGAATCTCCAGAAATATATTACGAATTAACTGGACCATTCGTTTCGAAAGTGACGCAAGTCCATTTTTTATTCAAAAATCAATATAAGTTAATTGTGTCAAGTCTGACGATATGTCTGCTAATTTATCAATAGTAATTTGATTATATAAATTTCTTTTATGCGAATTTAACTAAAATAATATATATTTACGGATTTATAACATTTTCATAATTAATCAATTGTAAAAATCATTTAATTCAATCATGAAAAATTTAATAATAAAACGCTTAAAACGTATTAATCCAATTTCGTTTATAAGTAATAACAAGAAATAAAATTGGAGTAGTATTTTCTACTTTGTTGTGTTAATGTTAATTATATTTATATATCGTTAAACTTAATATAAGATATCGATATTATTTATCTATGCTCTTTATATGTATTTTGGCAGTGTTTTGAAATAATTCATAATGCACAGAAGGATTAAAAATTAACAATTGCTCCATATCTTTATATTTTTCGTATGTAATAGATCTGACATCATTATACAAAGGCATCAGGGCGATTCTTTCAAATTTTACCGGTCTTCCCTTCCGCCACCTATGTCCATTTTGAAATTGGACTTACACCATTTTCATAATCGCTACGCAATTTCTTTTATTTGCCAATTTCAAATCGAACAAATCATTTTTTAAGATGTTAAATATCAACTAGTTATAAATAAAAACTTTACTTATACTAAATTAATCGCAAATATCTAATTTTTTTACCAAAATGGACTTACACCAGTTTCAAAATAAACATTCCAATTTTCAAATGTTTACAAATACATGTACATATAAAATAATGCATCAAATAACGAAGCACAACTGTGAAGATTGTTCCGAGAGAACGAGTCTCCTCTCTCTGATCGCGGTCGCAACTCAAGTATCGAACTCGTGCAAGTCACACAACGGAGCCTGCCCCGCGCCCCTATTCTTCCCTTTCTTTAACTTTAAGCGGTTTAACAGGATCTCTGAGCGGGTGAAGGTGAACGCGATTCGGAATCTAGGCGTCTCACCTGACGATCGCCTGAACCATGTACGTCTGCGTCTGGGAATCCAGCTTGGAGATGTGCGGGAGCGCCGTGTGGTACACGTGGTCCTCGCCCCGCCCCTTGTCGTGTCGATTGTTGTGACACTTCTGGCAATAGCGGATCGGATGATTCCCGTTGTAACTCGCGCACTCGGTCGAGAAGCACACGCTGATCGCCGATTTGTCCGTTGCCTTGCAATTCTAACGAATAAAGGGGGGGAAAAAAACTTTTCTCGAGAGAAAAAAAACGGGACTCGAAGATCCCTCACCTTGTTCTCGCATATCATCGACACTTGTTGCATGGGGTGTAAAATATCGTAGAACATTTGATTGGGATGAGATCTGTGGATCTCGTTCGCGCACTCGATGCAGAGGTACATGGGAGGCGGTGTCTCCGAGGCGAACGTGATGGATATCCGGTGGTCGTAACACACTTTGCCCGCCTCTGCGTTGCCCGCGTTTGGACACGAGTCCCTTTGACACACGAACGGGGCCAAGTCGTCTGCGATTCGAATTCGTGGGATTAACGCTAAACCTACCGACATTTCGTGTATACCTATTCCTACCGGTCAAATGCAAAAAAACATTTGTATCTTAATATAGAAAGAGATTTTAACTAATTGGATTCGTAATGTAAACGATACGGAAAGTTGCGAATATTGAAGAATGTATCTACATTATAGAAAAAGTCAATGAGTCATATGGCGATACGGTAAGTTCGTATAGAAGAAATTTCAAAAACGGTCATTTGACCGCGCGAGCTGAAGTCGAAGTGAAAAATCGAAAAAAAGGACGCACTTGCGAATTTGACCAGAACAGCCCTGCGATCGAAGAGGTTTGGATTGAAGGAAGGCCAGTAGTAGAAGAGCAATTTGGCGGCCGAGGCTCTGGCAGGCGCTGTGCCGTAGGCAACCACGCATAGAATGTCCTTCACAACGCCCGGTTTCAATGCCATCAGGCATTCCAACAATTGGCAATGATGCGCTGAAATGAATGAAGAAACGTTGAAACGATCTTTGAATTTTTCACATGGAAAATTGACAAACCTGGATTATTAGAGTACTGAAAGATCATCATGATGACAGCTGCTATCGACTGACTGGCCGCGTTTTCCGATCCATCCTCAGTTTTCCTCGCTACGATTAAAAAAGAAGGAATAATAACTTAAAGAATCTTTTAAACATTCTCCTAGTTAATTCTATTCTAAAATTTTCCATTAAATTTAAGATGAAAAAAAAAAAGAACTTACTGATGGTGAACGGAAGAATATAGAAACAGAGATAATTGACGATGTCCTGGTGAAGTTCGAGGGGAAGCACGGAGATCGAGCTGGCCGTGAGATAGGCAACGTTGTCGATTAAATCGTGATCGAGAAAGGGCAGGAGGCACGCGATGCATTGCAGCAACGCTTGGCCAAACGCTGAGGAAAGAAAGGAGTTGTTTGTTGATCGTCTCGAACGAGATCATTTAAAATGATATATTTTATAACCTTGCAGCCCTATATGAATGGAGGAAACGACGTCGATCAGCTGGGTGAGGGCATTGTACAACTGTTTGTAGTCCAGGTTGGGGTAAAGGGCCATCCGTTCCGCGTCGTACTTTTGCGATTTCACCATTTCGAGAGGTGCTTCCCGTACTTCTTTCAACAGAGCTGGAAAGAAAATGTATCGGGAGAATAAAATAATTTCGTTGCACAGAATTAAGGTGAATATATATATATATATATATATATATATATGTGTATATATCGAAATTCTTACACAACAACATTTGAGAAAAGAATTTCAACGTGTTCGCCATGTCGAGACCGGAAGGTACAGGTTGACTGCCGTGAAGAAGTCTCTGATAATAGTCGTGAAGGCTAGTCAACTTCAACGAGACTGAAAGAGAAGAATCGATGAGTGTGCACGAACGATGCATATCAATTTTCTTTTGGACTTACATGCTGCGAATCTAGTCCCCATTCTGTTTTTCACTGATTATTTCAGTTCCTTTTTTCTTTTCTTTTCACTCAAGTTGAAGTATCAAAACACCGGTACACATGATGACAAACAAAGTAACGTGAGTCGCACATCGTGTTAGGATCAACTTTCAGCATTTTTTTATATCCTTGAATTTTTTCTTCATTTTAATAAATGGACGAATCCTCTTCGCGAGGATTGGTTTTGTAACTGCAGAATCAGCACAGGTCCATTTCGACAGTGTTGTCTGACGAGGAGAGCGAGCGCGCAAGTCGTATCGACCTGTTTGGGAAAGCGGCGCCATCTCGTCTTTTCATCCCTCTACAGAGTATCCGGGAAACTACTATCACCTTTCCTTAAATTCGACGTTATTTAAATCAGTTTTCCTTTTACGCAAGTTGATTTTTATAATTTTTTCTAATCGTTACATTTGCAAACGACATTTGAAAAGAAAAAAATCTCAATTCGAAGAAAATTACATTGCCAACACTCGTTCAGAGATTTTTTCAACGTTTGATTTAATAATTTTCATAATTTCCTCTTCTCTTCGTTCGTTCCTCGTTATTTGAAAAATAAACAGCGGCAACACTGTCTTTTTAGCACAACAAAAGAATCTCAATAAATAATTTTCTAAAATTTTCCAAAGATTATTTTACAAGAATCTGCTCGTTTTCGTTGTAAAAAAAAAAAAAATTCCATCCAATCGAGTCGCGCGCTTCCTCGATACGAGTTCCCTCCGGCTAACACGAGATCGGATATTCATCCAATGTCCATTAAACGGCAGTTATATGATCGTGGAATGGCGGACAGGCCGAAGACGGCGTGTTACGTAAGAAGCTTCCTCCACGATCACGTAACTCTGATCGCATGAGGTTTGACAATTATTCCGTAATATCATTATCCCTGATCCAATGAGCCGCAATTACCGAGCTCTTTAAGAGATTACCATGCGCCGAGATATTTACGATGGCGCTGCATTAGTTTAAACGAGGATCTACGCTCGTTCCTTATCGTTACACGTATACACGCCGCGTCGTTTCGATAAGATAATATATAAAACACGCGGTATACTTAAGAAATTTTTATATTCGAGCAGATCTTGTTATTCTATATATTATTCTGTTTGAACGCGCGTATTATTATCGGGGCAAATATTTGAAACTAATTTTCTCGAAAACAAAGCGAAACTGTGGAAAAGTTTGTACGTTGTACACTTCTTAAACAGATGTTTCCTTTTACTGCGTATTTATTATTTCCTCTTTTATGATAAGGCAAATAAGTTACGAGCCTTCTCCTTTATACGTACGTACCGGCATTAGAATTATTATGTTTCCATATAAGGTATTGTTTAATTTCAATTGAAATTTCAACGACGATGACGAATCGAATTTAACGTCATCCATCTTTCCCATTCTTCGATTTCGAAGTAAATTCAGAAAAATTATCCTTATTCTTAATTCGAAAAATCAAGATAAATTATTTTCCAAACCATCATTACAAAAATCTTCCAAACGTTTGGTAAATCGATCAAACGACCCCTCCTACCAACTAATTTCATCAGAATTCCAAAATTCCGGTCATCGATTAACATTCGCAACAGTTGTCAAGGGAACACGTTTCCACGGATTTTTCGTGTTTCGTGCCGCGATTTAACTGTGTCACGAGGGGTCGAGTCTAGGCCGACCTATGACGTACGGCCACCGATCGATAATCATCTAAATACGATGCACACCTGGGACCCCGGTGAAGTCACTCTCCGGAATACTTTGCACTTTGCGCGCGGATGTGGCCTTTCCATCACCGTCGACGCCCGTATATCGAAATACGCATCGCACACCCGTTCTTTAAATATACCTGGCGCGCATCGCGACCGATCGATCCGCCAGGACCTGCCTTCGATCCGTCGATTGTGTCGTTATGATGGAACACGGCCGATCGTGACGTCGTGGAAACGTACTACCCTGTCGTGTTTACTACCAGCGCGCGCGTGTACTTTTATAGACCATCCGAGAAATTGGAAAATTTTGTCGAGGACGGTGTGATGAAATTTTGAGCGATTGAAAATTTGAAATTTAATTTATCTTCGAATTTTGGGGCTCGAAAGAATCGAAAAGAACCAATTGGGAAGTTCGAGAACTTTGTGATGAAATAATGTGAATAATTGAAAATTTAATTTGAACGTTTATCTTAGAATTTTGGATCTCGAAAGGATTGTAAGAAAGAGTTGGAGTTTTTAAAATGGAATCGTGGAAATGTATGATGTTTAGTAATAATATGCGTATTTTTATAAATCTGGGAAGTTTGAGAACTTTGTTGATGAAATTTTGAATAATTGAAAATTTAATTTGAACATTTATCTTAGAATTTTGGATCTCGAAAGGATTGTTAGATCTCGAAAGAGTTGAAGTTTTTTAAAATGGAATCATTCGATGTTTAGTAGTAATATGTATATTTTTATAAATGATCATTCGGAAAGTTTGAGAACTTTGTGACGAATGGTGATGGAATGTTGAATAATTGAAAATTTAATTTGAACATTTATCTTAGAATTTCAGGGATCGAAAGGATAATAAAGAAAGAAAATGTTGGAGTTTTTAAAATAGAATTTTGACGATTTGATTTTTCGATGTTGTTTTGGTGATATTTTTACAAATGAGTAAATGGATACGAAAATGGAATTTTATATATTCATTTTAGAATCTTGTGTTTGGCAGATGAGTTTCTAGATCGTAGGAAAATAAGATAATTCAAATTTTGAGTAATTGAGAAAACGAAATTAAATTTGAGAGATTGGAATATTTTGTATAACGAAAGGAAATACTTGGAAATGTAATACAATTCAGATAAGAGATTAAAAATTCTTTTAGATTAGAAGCAAACGACGATAAAAGTTTTAATAAACCAAAAATAAAATTTTGATGTTTCGATAAAATTGTACAAATTTACACGTATTTTTAAACGTGATATTTTCGGATATTCGAATTTTTTCTTATTCTATTTCACGAGAAATTATGAATTATAAATTTTCCTCACAAGATAAGAAATAAAAAAATTCGGAAAATGAACGATAAAAATTCATTCAAACACATGTATTCTTAAATAACGTTTATAATTAAGAAATTGCAAAAATCTTGTAAAACATTTCCATCGTTGACGGTGCTCAAACAACGAGAAGAGCTCGTATTTCGAACGATATAGCGACGACGAATGTGAGCGTATTTCGCCTCATAAAAATTCCTAGAATGTTTGGCGATAGACGGAGGGCGCAAAGGGATCAGTGTAGGACTGCGACTCCTCCGCGATAAAGGGGACGTAATCACGAGGGGTGCGAAGCCAGGTAACCCGATCGATTTCTCGCGCGCCTGTGTTCGAATGTTGCAACGGTGACGCAGACGCGTGGCCATGCTAGATCGCGTGTCTAACCTCGGGAAAATAGCTTAAAAGGAGGAGGAGGAGGAGGAGGTGGGGAGAGAAAAAAGAAGCAAGCGGGAAAGATACCGAAATGAAGCAGTAAAAGTGAGCGGAACGAAGCAAACGAGAAAAGAGTCTAATCTAAGAATCAACGACAATGACAAAATTACAAGAGTAAAAAGTGTGAAAAATCTCTAACTCACGGATTAGAACTCACTCGGAAAAGAAAAGAGAATAAAAGAGAATAAAAGTGTACACGAAAACTCGAAAGTTCAAAAAGATCGAAAGAAAAAAATTATATTGGAGAAACGAATATAGAAAAGAATCCGAAGTCAGGGAAAGATTGGAAATACGCGAATGATAAGATAAGAGGGGAGGAAATTGAAACGTCTACGTCAAACTGACGTAGGAAGGGAGCGAGGAGGATACAGGCATCGCGAGGAGGGGAGGGTGGTGTGTGGACGAAAGCACGGTTGCCTAGGACACCGCATGGACATCATTCGTTGGGCTGCGACGTCACGGGCCGCGCATGGGGGTGAAAGCCGCGCAACCCTCGGCCCGTCGAGCCGCCTTGGAAAACAGTGCTCGCGGGACAAGCCACGTCGAAAGTTGTGCGGTGAGCCGCGCTTCCTCACGTTTCCACAATACGCACGAGAAAAGGTACGAGGAATTCCTTCCCTCTCCTGCGGGACAAGAAGTAACGAGATTTAAAACTGTTTCTTTTTCTTTCTTTCCGTTTTTTTATTCGGTGCGATGTTGTTGTTGTTGTTACATTTTTGGAACGTAACAGGTCTCGTTCCTTTGAGTGCAATTGAAATTATCGTTTACCACGAAGAAGAAAGGTTTGTTGGGGAAGATTTTTAAATTCTTCTGATAAGAATTGTAAATTGAAAAAAGAATTCTTTCGATAGAATGGCAAAAAAATAATCACAACGCGTCGCGAAGCGAACGAAATGCTGGCTTGAAAAATTTCGCTGATATTATTTTCACCGCGAAAAAAGAAAAATTTTCCTTCCCAAGAAAGGGACGGCGGATAATCTCTTCCGCTCGATCGAAAGATCGTTTCGTTACGCGATCACCGTTTATGGACGGGCATTCGTCATCACCGTGGCTGATCCCATCAATTGATTAACGCCACCCTCGCCTCGGGATAGCTGGTGCTTTTCCGGTGGTCGGCGAGATAATAAAAAGCAAACAGATGAATCAACCGGCGTACAAGGCCGACAGGAGCCCGGATCGAGGGTGGCCATCCCCCTTTTTTGTTGCCTGTCAACGGGCAACATAACGGGGCTGCAAGGGTCCATGTGATTTGATTATCTTGGTAATACGGTCCGTATGCCACCCTAATTGCTGTGGCTTCGACCCCCCCACGCACAGGCAAATATCGCGTTGGAATCCGCTGCAGGAATTCACGGTGGCTTGATTAAGGGTGGCTTGTTTGTTCTTCTTCCTCCTCCCCTTTTTTTTTTTTTTCATAACAGAGTATCCCTTTAAGAGGGACACGAGAGGGCGTAATAATAATCGGATAATTTATAGGAATTCGTTTTATATTCGCGAATGCACTGCGTGATAGATGTAGATTCAAAGTTCAATTTTCGAACGAGAATAACAAAAGCGCGTTTATCAACGCGTTTTATCCAGAAAGTTTCGAATCTTTCCTCGAACGTTTTTTCCACGATGAATTTTTCACGAGCCGGGAAATAAACAAAGCAGACGTTGCTTCGTTGATGCAAGCGCTCTTAATCATTTTATTCGCGGAAAGCTTTTCAACACGCTTAAAGCAAGGTTTAAACCGTTTCGAAAAGGTCGAAGGTAAAAGGAACGTCCAAGACGTTCGATTTATCGATCCAGGGGGAACGAGCTTAAGACCC